AACATTCGGGCAGCGTGCGACGGTTTCATTGGCCGTTTGAAGGCCATAATTCGTGCCAAAAGTGACCAATTCAAACAAATCTAAACTTATTCTAAAATTTGATTCTATTACCGATATTTTTTGCTTTCATTCAATAAAATTTAAAAAAAGTGTAAGAATGACTTTGTTGCAATTTTTTCATCTCACACTGCATATGCTATATATCTCACCCTGCATATGCATATGCTATATCTCCAATTTCAAGTGGAATTTAAAAAATTTATATAGCCTATGTTTCTTTCAGGCAATGTTGTACTATACTTGGAAATTTGGAGGAAAATCTCTACAGTGGTTTTCAAGTCCATAAATTACAAACAAACAAACATTTTCCTCTTTTAAAGATATAGGAAATCAGCCCAAAATTAACAGATTTCTTATATTCAACCGAATTTTTCCATTTGTTGAAACTCGGTCCGGTATATCTATTGCTACAATAAATATGTTTTAATATAATCCTTATGAAAGTCATGCCATGCACTCTACAGCAATTTTATTTGGTCCATAGTTGGTATAATCTATTTCACATAAATTCGCAATATAATCTTGTTTGTTATTTGAGCTCTACTAAATAAGCATAGTGGTATCCGATCGACTTTTGACGTTTCCTAACTGGTTCTCACTGTTCCGCATCGTCGATTTCAATCACAATAAGTATTTTAACAACTAATCCAAAACTAATCAACTGTGATAAATGGTATAAATATTTGTAGCGTAATTATCCATGGTTCACCTCGTTATATGTACTTATTTCCAAATAAATTGCAGAATCTTTATTCCCATGCAATCGAAATTTCTTGTAAGTTGGTGTATTTCCGTTGTCACATCTTTCCAAGTTAATGTCTGAAATCACTGTGCTCTAAAAAACCTCAAATCTCCTACTCTTGTTTTTTTTTTTAACAACAGCAAAGTCAACATGCGCGACCAGCAGCAACTGGTTTCTATAATGTTTTGTGTCACGTGAGATTGCTGAAATGAAAAACGAGTTCTCATCATGGCAAATGTTCCGATGCAATACGGCAGAGCGACTGATTTATTAACTTTTACCGGTTTTATTGCTTTGCGAACAGTAGAATCCAAATAAATGCAAATGGAAGTGAAATAGAAATAATTGAATTAATGCATTTTGGAAGAATCCTTAAATCTTAGTAATTGAAATTCCAGAGACGTCATTTCACTTAGCTGAATACCAAAAACGCAGTTAATGGAAATTACGAAATGATAGGCGTTAATTTTCTTCAAATAGAAATTGCCTTACATTTAAGTAGATTCGACTGTCAATAAGTCTCATCATCTGTATTGTCTGTCAATAATTAGCAATAATAATGCGAAAGAGAGAAGGGTAATAACGATAAAGGGTGGGTAAAGTGGGTAGTAGTTCTTCTAGTTTTTGTTGAGAGTCTGACTTTTGGTCTATCTCTCTCTTTCGATAGTTTCACATGTTTATGCGTTAAATTAGTTTCGTTTTTAATACATAATATTTAAAACAACAACAACAATGTCAAAAATTTTAAAAGAGTTGCCCTATAGAAAAATAATGCCAAAACTCGGTTTCTGCCAAATATTTGAAGAATTTTAGTAGATCTAAGGGAAGCCTCTTGATGGCTGAAACTTTTCAGAATGCAATAAAAGAAATATAAAACCGAGTTATAATCTTGAAATATTGTTAGAAATTCTGAAATACTCGCTTCGTCCCGGTCTACACCCACGTAATTTCGTGAAATAGAATTTCATGAAGTTTTGTTTTTTGGATTGTTAAGGCGAACATTATATATTTATGATTTATTTATTCCTCTCTCGAGAAGAGCTTACTGATTTGAAATTTGCAGTAAAAATCATAATAAAAAACTAAAGAAATCACCTACTTTGAAATTATTCATGCGTCGACCATTAATTATTATTCAAATTAATTCAATACCGAACTTCCTGGCTAGCCTCCAACTCACTCGTATTTACAGGTCCTCATATACAGGGTGAGATAAAAAAAAATTGCAACCAACTTCAGTCTGCTGTCATTTCTAAGCCACTCGTCCGACAGCCGCTAAAATTATTCCAGTGACAGCTCATTATATTATATAATTTTGGTGAGAATTTTCCAGAAAAAAGTTATTCGTGATGGAATTAAAGCGTGATAGTGTGATTTCTTTATATTTGGCTGGAAAACCACAAATGGCTATCGGTAGAGCACTTCAGCATTTAAATGTGAATAAATCTTTTGTTGGTCGTACCATCGCCCGTTATCGTGATACTGGTAGCATAGCCCGACGTCAAGGAAGAAAACAGCAACATCAGCAGAAATGGTTCGAAAAGTAAAGAAGCGACTTGATCGAAACCGGCGTCGCAGTGCCCGAAAAATGGCTCGTGAGCTGAACATATCGCAATATTCCATTCGGCAAATATTGAAAAATGAATCGGGGTAAAGCCATAGAGATTCCAAAAAGTACAAGAACTTACACCGCAACAAAAAGAAAATAGACTCAAAAGTGCTAAAGAGTTGCTTCGCGTGGCCGAAAGTGATGAACTGCCGAATTTGGTTTTCTCCGATGAAAAAACATTCGTTGTCCTGCAGTTTGTAAACAAACAAAATGATCGTGTTTACTTGCCAAAGAGGTCAGCTGAAAATGTGCACCTTCGGTTGGGCACCAGAACTTAAGCGCCGGTCATGGTGATGGTGTGGGCCGCCATAACAGTCGATGGTCGCTCTCCGCTCGTATTAATCAACCGTGGCATCAGAATAAATACCGAATATTATTGCGAAAATATTTTGTAGGGTGTATTAAAGCCTTGGGCACGTAAACATTTTGGCCGCAGACCTTCGCCATTCCAACAGTACTCAGCACCATCGCACTCAGCAAGCGCCACCTAAGAATGATTACAAAATGAGGTTCTTCGCTTCATTTCCAGCGCACAATGGCCACTAAAATCTCCGGATACCAATACGTTGGACTATTGTGTCCGGAGTATTTTGGAAAGTAAGGTTGGCACTAAAAATACCAAAGTGTCGAACACCTCAAGCAAGTGATTCGCCGAGAATGGGCCAAAATACCGCAGAGCAACATTCGGGCAGCGTGTGACGGTTTCGTTGGCTGTTTGAAGGCCATAGTTCGTGCCAAAGGTGACCAATTCGAACAAATCTAAACTTATTCTAAAATTTGATACTATTTCCGACATTTGTTGCTTTCATTTAATAAATTTGAAAAAAAAATGTAAAATTATGGCGTTTGACTTTGCTGCACTTTTTTATCTCACCCTGTATATATGAGGACCTATAAATACGAGTGAGTTGGAGGCTAGCCAGGAAGCTCAGTATTGAATTGCGATTTCTAAACATTGATGCAAATCGCTTTGGTGAAATAAAACAGATTCTGGGGTAAAATCTGAATTTGGTAACATTAGTAGTGAACCATTTTTGCTCAAATGTCGTTTGTTTATAGTTAAGCATCTCAATTCTCACAGACATCAGGCAAACACAAACATTTTTGTGGGGAGCAGCACAAATGGTAGTAAAATTTCAAAACTTAGATGTACCAGACCTGGCAATATTGTTCATATATAGCATACATTGTATATAGGTGAAGAACCGCATATAATTACACACATATGTATATATGTATGTAGTAACACCACCACATTACAAATGACTATTGTCTGGCCTTAATGAGGGCTATTTAAACTTTTTTCACTTTTCAATTGTCATTTTTGTCGTTTTAGGTTTGTAAAACGGCGAAAGCATTTGTTGAAATGCAAGGTTAATTGTTGTTGTTGTTGTTGTTGGTAAAATGTTACAGCATAACAAAATATTCTGTCATTATCTAGTGGAAAAATTATAATTTTGCTTTGCAATTCATTGAAAACTGGGATTTTAAATGAATCATTCGATAAAGTGGATATTAGGTTAGATTTGAGGGGGAGGAGGGGTTAAGTGGTAACTATGTATTCTTTGAAAGTGGAATTTAAGTCCACTTTCGTTTGGAAAAATAGTAACTACGGCTTATTGTCCATTCGAAAATTGAAGTCATAATAGCATCCAAACAAACAGTGAAAATAGAGTATGATCTGAATGTCAAGTCGTAGAGAACAGAAAAAGTTGGATTTTGAGATTTAAGCTCTGTAGGATAAAGGGAAAGCAATTATTGGACAAAAAATACAAAACTTGGTTCAGGACTTGGTTGAAATATGTGCTTCGTTGGGGAGGGCTAAAATGCGGCAAGAAGTTTCACAAGAACCCATTATACCTAAATACATCCAGGTTGTTTTAAAATTGTGATAATCATAAGTTATCGTTATATGAGAGGTCACACCAATAAGTTTACCGAAATTTAAATTTTTTTGCTGCAACGTTTCATTTTTTCGGAGAAAATTCCTGAGAAAGAATGTTCTGAGCAAGCCCTCAAAATACGTCAAATATGTGTGTGTCAAATGGAAGGGGACCGCTATAGCAAATAGCGAACAGTTGCTAGAATGTGAAATTGCAGCTGATTCTGTTGAAAAATACCTTGAATCGGGCGGTACGTTATATTGGACCTGTATCAAAACGTTGACCTATGTGGACAGTTCTTTGCAAGGATATCAGATGCAGAGTATTACGACTTTTTGGCAGGTTTTGGCGCTCTCCAATCGTAGTAGCGACCAAATTACAAGCACAGGTTCTTAAACCTAATACTAAACACTTATTTGGCGGATCTGAACCCCATTTCAAAAGTAATTTCAAAAGCTTTTTCTTTAATGGATTCCTTACTAACACATCCGGATTCTTTGTGATAGCATCTAGAAAATCTGAAATAAATCGTATTTCAACCACCATCAAATGTTGCAGTATTGGGTAAATTACAAAAAAAAAACTAAAACTTTAAATAAACAATTTCCGACAACATTCATTCATTTCGTTTCGGTGGGAAAAAATAATTTTGTCACTGAAAGGAAGATCATCAATCATTCGCAGGACTTGAACTCAGACCACTTACCTTCATATTGTGTTCGACCAACTTCTCGCTGGAGCAGATCATGTAGACCAAATAAGCTCGCACTAACTCCCATGTTGTTTTGCTCTTGAATGCTGCAACTGGATCGTTGAAACTTACATCCAACGGATCCCGTTGGGGATTCTCGGGTACATTCGGTGTGGGGGGAGTACGACGTAACTGAGATTTTGAATAGACAGATGATTTCTGCTCATCCCCGATGGTTTGGGTCGCGGCTACCGTCTGCGATTTAGTGGCATTGGTGTGGACGCCACGTTGTTGCTGGCCATAGATGGAGGCGAACAAAGTCTGGGGAAAAACACGTTTCGATTGATACAAAGCCGTCGAATAATTCAATTCATCGTTAGACCAGCTATTCGATGCTGCTGCTGCTACTCCAGTCGTTGGTTTATTGGAGCCAAATTGACGTTTGCCCGCGCCAAGACTGCTGGAACCACTAACGCTACAGCTATAAACTAAATTGGTACGTTGAGCACAGATGAAACGCAAAAACGCCATTACACACGCGCACTAGCTTGGATTCACTGAAATATGGATGGTTGTTGTTGGTCTTTTGGCGGCGTTTCCCAGAGGATACAATTTTCTTTTCAAAACTTTTCGTTTTTTTTTCTTTATTGTTGTGATTTGTTTCACTAGTTTCCGTTTTGTGGGGAACGTTTATTTTTCAACACTTTTATGTGATATTTTCTTTTTCTCTTATGAATGAAACAGGACACAAATTTTCTGTCACAAGAAAATGTTAACACTGCAAAAAAAAAAATAAATAGATAAAAAATTTAACAATTTTAAAATGGGAAAACTAGAGAATGGAAGAGTAATATTAAGGGGTATTGATAGCGTAATAATTTGTAAGAATTACTTGAAATTGTTACGGGATGTTGTCCGATAGTTGAAAAGTTAGCTAAAAGAGAGCGATTTTGGGAGAGATTGTTGTTACTCAGCATGGCCTACATAGGGTCGGCCAGGAAAACTATTTGATTTGACTATTTTTGAATTTCAAATCACAATTTTGTTTTTGACAGCAAACTTAGTTGTCAGATGGACTTTCTGGCCCATCTTATGTAGGCCTCATTCCTGAGAATTTGCAAATTCTCAGATCTTTTTTGTTTGATCGGCTGATAATTCATCAACTGTTTTGTGGCCGATGCGAAAATCTTTTAAAGTTTCCGGCAATAATCTAAATATGTAAGACTGAATTCAGCCAGATGTGCCAAAATTCAGGTCATTTGGACTTATAATGGCCTTTGGTGCACAATTAACCCGAAATCGGTTGAAGATATATATGGGAGCCATATCCAAAAGGTATTTCTGGGCTGTATCTGATATCTAATAATAATATCATTCTTGTGGGGTGCATATTACGAATGTGGGGGACTTAACTACCAAATCGGATGAAAGCTATATATGGGAGCTTTAGCTATTTCTGAACCGATTCTCTCCGAATTCGATGTACTTGCGTCTAGTCTAATTTCGGCGGATCTGATCCAATTATCACCAATTTCAATAGGATACGTCCTTGGGTGAAACACATATTGTTTGGAAAATTACATCTCGATCGGATGATAAATGCGACCTGCATTTTGTTCACAAGAATACATGGACGGACGGAGGTCAGACGGACTGACATGCATAAACAGACTCAGAAAGTGATTATGTGAAGATCCTCAAAAGTAACTATGGGTCAATCTCGCTTCCTTCTCCATGTTACCCTTACCACTATGTGGTAAAAAGACAAGTAAGAAAGCAGCTAAGTTTGGCCGGGCCGAACTTTTTATACCCTCCGCCATTTGGAAGAAACTTGAAAAATTTTAAGAAAGTTCCCCTCAAATGAAATTCGTTATATGGGGGCCATACGAAGAAGTTCAGAACAGTTACTACAGCCTCTGACACAAATAACTTATGCAGGACCACATAAGTAATTTGTGTTAGAGGCTGTAGTAACTGTTCCGAACTTTATATACGAAATTTGAAACAATTCCGGTGAATAACGTCGCAAAACTCAAAAAATCAAAATATCGGGAGAAACCGTATAGGGAATATATGATATCGTGGACCTATATAGACAATTCTCTTCCAGGGGATAATGTACTCACAAGGAACTCCTTTTGTGGATTTTAATACAATTCCATTGAAAATTTTGCCTGAAATGATCAAAATACTGAATATGGGGGGTAGCTTTATATGGGAGGATACCTATATATACGTGGATCTATTTAGACAATTCTCTTCTAGAGGATAAATTTCTCACAAGGAACTTCTTGTGAGAATCTTCAGACAATTCCATTGAAAAATCTGGCTAAAATCATCAAAATACCGAATATCGAGAGTTGCTGTTGTATGGGTGATATACGATTTCGTGAACCTATATAGACAATTCTCTTTCAGGGGATAAAGTACTCACAAGGAACTTCTTATGAGAATTTTCAGACCATTCCATTGAAAAATCTGGCTAAAATCATCCAAATGCCGAATATAGGGGGGTACCGTTATATGGAGGCTATACGATATCGTGGACCTATATAGACAATTCTCTTCCAGAGGTAATGTACTTACAAGGAACTCCTTTTATGGATTTAAAGACAAATCCATTGAAAATTTTGGCTGAAATTGTCAAAATACCGAATATCGGGGGCACCGCTATATGGGGACTATACGATGTACATATATAGCCCATCTTCGAACTTGAATTGCCTGCAGAACTGCGCAACATTTTAGCTTCCTAATCTTAATTTCCACAAATTGGAGTTTTAGATAGAAGGTAAATATTGATGCAACATAAAACTAGATAATTAGTTACAATGATTTTAAATTGTCTACTTTATTATTCAAAACATATATAAAAAACTGTGTATATGTTTTAACAGAATAGGAGCAGCAAAAGAAAAAAATGTTTCCTTTATTATTACACCATGATAGGATTTAAATCAGAATGGTTATGAAAATGTTAAAAATTCACCCACATATCGCCGCCTTTAAACATCTACTCACAAATGAAACTTCTACTTTAAATCAAATCATAGGAAGTCTGTTATGTATCAATCGGTCGATAACTTAATAATTGCACTTTTAATTCAAAATTAATTGCATGGACAGTTTTTGTTCTCCTCCATTCTAAAGAGACCCGACTCATAAAAATGCACTTTTAAAAACATCGTTTTAATTATAGCAATTTAAAATTCCACAGAATATGTCATTGGATAATTGTTTGTTATTTAACTGTAGAACGGTTATTATATTTATAATAGAACTTTCAGAATCTTCATTTTAAAGCCAGTAGAGTGCTACAGTAAAGTCCGTAATAATGTAAAATAACCAAAACTAACGGATAGCTGCTCATCGACGGTGCAACTCATAAGGAGCACCGGCGGCATCAACTGCGTTCATAACCAGTAAGGAAAGCTCAAAAGTCGGGCGGGGCCGACTATATGATACCCTACACCACTATGCATATTTAGTAGAGCTCTCGTAAAAAGGTTTATACAGGGCATTTCAGAGCTCTATTAGATATTTGGTACAAAATCAAAATCTATCTAATTCTATCGTGCATTTTACGAACTATAGCTATCTCTGAACCGGGTTTCTCCAAATTTTACGTATTAGCTTCCAGACTGAATTCGGTCTTATTTACGAAAATGCAGGTGATTTGGGCTGATATTGACCATTTAGTGCACATTTAACCCGAAATCGGATGAAGACATATATGGGAGCTATATCCACATCTGAACCGATTTCGATAAAGTTTAAAACAGCTATTCCTGTGCTCCATCTAATACCTGGTACCAAATATCACGGTTGTGGAGTGAATATTACGAATGTATGGGACTAAAACACTAAATCGGATGAAACATATATATGGTTGCTATATCTATATCTGAACCGATTTTCACTAAATTTGATATACTTGCTTCTAGGCTGAATTTGGTCCGATGTACTAAAATTCAGTCCATTTGGACTTATATCGGCCATTTGGTGCACAATTAACCCGAAATCGGATGAAGACATATATGGGAGCTATATCCACATCTGAACCGATTTCGATAAAGTTTAAAACAGCTATTCCTGTGCTCCATCTAATAGCTGGTACCAAATATCACGGTTGTGGAGTGAATATTACGAATGTATGGGACTAAAACACTAAATCGGATGAAACATATATATGGTTGCTATATCTATATCTGAACCGATTTTCACTAAATTTGATATACTTGCTTCTAGGCTGAATTTGGTCCGATGTACTAAAATTCAGTCCATTTGGACTTATATCGGCCATTTGGTGCACAATTAACCCGAAATCGGATGAAGATATATATGGGAGCTATATCCAAATCTGAACCGATTTCGATAAAATTTAAAACACCTATTTCTGTGCTCCATCTAATACCTGGTACCAAATATCACGGTTGTGGAGTGCATAGTAGGAATGTGAGGGACTTAAACACCAAATCGGATGAAAGATATATATGGGAGCTATAGCTATATCTGAACCGATTTTCTCCAAATTTGATATACTTGTTTCTAGGCCGAACTCGGTTGGGTGTGCCAAAATTCAGGTAATTTGGGCTGATATTGGCCATTTGGTGGTCAATTAACCCGAAATCGGATGAAGATATATATGAGAGCTATAGCTGTTTCTGAACCGATTTTCTCCAAATTTGTTGTATTTGCTTTAAGGCTAATCTCGGTCACATGTGCCAAAATTCGGGCCATTTGGGCTGATATTGGCCATTTGGTGGTCAATTAACCCGAAATCGGATGAAGATATATATGGGAGCTATATCCAAATCTGAACCGATTTCGATAAAATTTAAAACACCTATTTCTGTGCTCCATCTAATACCTGGTACCAAATATCACGGTTGTGGAGTGCATAGTAGGAATGTGAGGGACTTAAAGATCAAATCGGATGAAAGATATATATGCTAGCTATAGCTATATCTGAACCGATTTTCTCCAAATTTAATATACTTGCTTCTAGGCCGAACTCGGTTGGGTGTGCCAAAATTCAGGTAATTTGGACTGATAGTGGACATTTGGTGCACATTTAACCCGAAATCGGATGAAGATATATATGGGAGCTATATCTAAATTTGATCCGATTCTCACCAATTTCAATAGGGTTCGTCCTTGGGCCAAAAAAATATTGTTTGGAAAATTTTATCTCAATCGGATAATAAATGCGACCTGCATTTTGTTCACAAGAATACATGGACAGACGGACGGACGGACGGACAGACGGACGGACATGCATAAATCGACTCAGAAAGTGATTCTATGAAGGTTCTCAAAAGTAACTATGGGTCTATCTCGTATCCTTCTCCATGTTACAAACAAATGCACAAAGACATAATACCCTTACCACTATGTGGTGTAGGGTATAAAAACTGTGAACGTACTATAACCTTACAATTGTGTCTTAATTTACCAAATGTTAGGCAACAATGATTATAAAATTTTTGTCGTAATTATATAGGTTTAAATAAGGTAGTCGCATCAACACAACTGCTGGGACAATGAACTTTCAAAGCAATTTTGTAATTAACAATTTTGAATGAGAAATTTTTCAAATTTGTAAAAGTTGTTAAAAAAATGTATATCATAGCAACCTCCGTTTGGTGTCTTATAAGAAAACTTATAACTGTCAAAAATTAAAAAAAATAATTTTTGACATATCAAGGTTCTTAAGCGTTGATGCATCTACCCGTATTCTTCTACCATGGTACCCTACTATTTGACACAATAATATCCGCGGATTGTCCGATTTATAATTAAAATTTACTGAAAAACTTGATCTGTATATAGAAACGAAATGTTAAAATGTATTTAACCTTTTAGAAATTAGAGTCAACCTGTTCACGTTAAAGGCTGCTGGAAATTATATCGTTCTATGCATTGAACGTCTCGTTCTAACATCGGAAGATCCATTGGAAGATCAATAAATTTTAAAAATATAGAATTTTATCGGATTTTCAGACTGCTGCCACTCCTAAGCCACTCGTCCGAGAGCTGTTAAAATTATTCCAGTGTCAGCTCATTATATTGTTTACAAGCATATAAAAGCATTTTGGAGAGAATTTATCAGAAAATAAGTCAAAAAGCAGTAAGTTCGGCCGGGCCGAACTTTTAATACCCTCCACCATTTGGTACAAATTTGGCAATTTCCAAACAAAAAATAAAATCCGTTAACAATTTTGTTAAAATCTTAAAAATACCGAATGTCTATACGACGACTTGGACCTGCATAGGCCACTTTTGTCATAAGTTATTACAATATTTAAATGTGAAACTTGAAGAAAATCTGTTTATAATGTAGCTAAAATCATCAAAATACCTAATATAGGGGGTACAATTTATATGGGGACTATACGAAGACGTGGACCTGCACAGACAATTTTCTGGCATGGGCTGAAGTATCCATTACGAACTTCAAATGTGAAATTTGAAACAATCCCGGTAAATAATGTCGCTAAAATCATAAAAATACCGAATATCGGGGGGTATGGTATATGGGAGCTATACGAAGACGTGGACCTATTTTCTGTTTTATGCTGCAGTATCTACTACGAACTTCTAATACCAAATTTGGAACGATTCCGTTAAATAATGTCGCTAAAATCATTAAAATACCGAATATCGGGGGGTACCGTTATATGGGGGCTATATGAAGACGTGGACCTACACAGATTATTTTCTGTCTTAGGCTGTAGTATCCATTACGAACTTCAAATGCAAAATTTGAAACAATTCCGGTAAATAATGTCGCTAAAATCATCAAAATACCGAATATCGGGAGGTACCATTATATGAGGGTTATATGATAACTTGAACCTACATGACCCATTTACGAACATAACCTGCCTACTGGCAAAACATACATGTGTGCAAAATTTTAGCCTTCTATCTCAATTTGTTCGAAAGATAGCGTGATTGCAACAGACAGACAGGCGGACAGACACACAGACAGACAGACGGACATGGCTAAATCGTCTTAGAATTTTAGGCTGGTCAAGAATATATATACTTTGTTGGGTCTGACATGAGTATTTCGAGGAGTTACAAACGGAATGACAAAATTAATATACCCTCCATAGTATGGTGGAGGGTATAAAAGTTATTCGTGAATTGAAGCGTGATATTGTGATTTCTTTATATTTGGCTGGAAAACCTCAAGTGGCTATCAATAGAGCACTCCAGCATTTAAATGTGAATAAATCTTTTGTGTCTCGTACCATCGCCCGTTAGCCCGAAAATGACGGCAAGATAATAATGCGGCCCTGGCATTCCTTTACGATATGTCATAAAATATACCATGCGAAGACCTTAAGCTGCTTATGCACACATACCTAAAAGGTGAGAATACATTACACGCTTTTTTGACTGGCTAAAGCCATTGGCTGGCCTATTCGTAGAGGAACAACGTAATTCTAGGTTGAATTAGTTCGATTTTGGCCCTACGCTCCTTTGTTCTTCTCCGAAGAAGCCAGCCGATATTTAAGCCAGCCAAAAAAGCGTTTTATGTATTCTCACCTTAAGTTTACAACTTCCATTGTATAATCGATCACTCTTACCATAAATACTTCAATAGAAATAATAGACGAATGCGAGTAATATTTGGGAAAAGTTACAATGGACCATCGTCATTATTTTGGAAGTTTTTAACCAAAAAATAAAAAAGTGACATAACCATTAATATTTGTCCGGTTAGTCGAGGAAATCACTGCACATTCTTGGATCTTTTTCAAGAATCAATAATTACTTCGTGTTAAGGGATTTTATAAACCAATTTCGGATTTTCTGTTCGTTTCCGACATATCCCACATGATTTCTTTTTGTGAAAATTCGCTTTTGACAAGCTGTTTAATAAGACCAATAACATTACGCAAGCGGCCATAAACAAAAATTTTGTTTTGAAAATTTTGAGCGACATTTGAAACAGCTGGTTTATGTACTCGCCGCTGCGAGTCATCGACGTCATGACTGAAACAAAAAAAAAATAGAATATAAATGAGTTGAAAGTACGGCCAAATCCCTTCAACCCCTTTTATTTGATAACTGCCAACAGAGTGGCAGACAGGCGGCAGCCAACAAGGCACCCTGTATTTTTGGGGCAGCAAACTTGTGGTGTTTCGTTCTTCTTGTGTGGGAAAAAAGAGAGTACACGTCTGAATTTCGGTATGTATTTGTGTGTATGCGTGTGTCTTTGCTTGGCATCGCATGTGTATGCGAATTGTTGGTCTGATTCAATGGATTTCTGTCGGCACCGAGGAATCTGGTTGGTAATGCTCCTATAACTTCTGCCATCGACAATTGCTCTTTTTTTTTGAAGCGTTTTTCTCGCTGCTTGTTATGTTATATAACGACCATTATGTGGGCATTTAAGTCCTTATACGTGAATAAATTTTCACCACACTCATTTCTTTTTTTGTTTTGTATTTTAAATGCAACTAAATGAACAAATTATGAATTCACATTCAGGCATTTCTCTGAAATTCGTTTCAAAATCAAAGACATTTCCCCCAAAACCATAGCCATGGGGTTATTTATAGATGAGACTTTTCGCTACGAAAGTGGAAGTTGGATGTGTTTTGTTTTGTAGTGCAAAAATTCGCATGGCCATAAATTCTTTTTTTGAGAAATTTTCAAATTTAACAATTCTCAACTGGACGACATGTGCTGATGAATAATTACAAAGTAATTTAATTTATTTTTCGATTTTCAAACTTATTTCGCAGAATTTGGATAGGTATAAAATTCATTTCTTCGTTTTGCCAATTCAGCTAATTTTTGTTATTTTTTGTGCAATTATTGTCGAACACACATCAAGTTTTATTGTTGTTATTTCGATTCGAATTGAAAAAAAATATATATATATATATTTGTTATAGTTGCTGTTTCTGTTGTTATTGTTGTACAACAGAGTACAAAATGTATGGATACCCAATACAAAATGTTTTAGAAAAGAAGCAAGAAAAAGTATACCTAAACCGTTTTCGGGTCTGTTTTCACACTTTTTTTATTTTTATATCACAAACACACACCACTGTACACGGGCAAAAGGAAGAATGAATTCAAGAATCACGTCGCGGCGTTCAACGTCAAACGACAACTGACAGAACAAGTCTAAGGAATCGAGTACCAGAGCAATGAGTGCCGTCGCCGCCACATCCACATACCAGTCGAACGGAACGAAACGAACGAGAACCAACCGTACCACACAATAGAGGCGGTGGTGGGGTCGATGATGATGATATTTTTCTCTGAGAGACAATATGTTTGGTTGGCTTTTGTGCTCTTCATTTGTCTCAGCTTTCTCTCTGACAAATTATCCCCCAAAACAAGGTGTATGGTGAATGCATCCAAAAGCAATTGTTTAGGCGAAAACGAGATGTTCCGAACTCTCAGCAGTATGTTCGCATGTACGAATGTGTTGTTTTAATCATCATGTGCTTTCAGAAAGTAAAATACAACAGCGAAAAGGGCAAGACCAGAGTTGGGATTGTAAAAAAGGTTAACTTTGCAATCAAACAGTGGCAGGTGGATACGGAAGACTTTTGAAAAGATTTGACTCTATTTTCAGTGTACCAATCGTTCAAGAATAGTAAAATAATTTATTTATTTTTGTATAAGAGCATTACAGGATGATGTCAAACGCCATAATTTTTACATTTCTTTTAAATTTTATTCAATGAAAGCAAAAAATGTCGGAAATAGCATCAAATGTTAGAATAAATTTAGATTTGTTCGAATTGGTCACCTTTGGCACGAATTGTGGCCTTCAAACGGCCAATGAAACCGTCACACGCTGCCCGAATTTTGCTCTGCGGTATAGGTGCACATTTTCAGCTTACCTCTTTGGCAAGTAAACACAATCATTTTGTTTGTTTACAAACTGCTGGACAACGAAGAAACCCATCTCATCGGAGAAAACCAAATTCGGCAGTTCACCATCTTTTGAGTCTATTTTCTTTCTGTTGTGGTGTAAGTTCTTGCACTTTTTGGAATTTCAATGGCTTTACCCCGAGCTCATTTTTCAATATTTGCCGAATGGAATATTGCGATATGTTCAGCTCACGAGCCATTTTTCGTCCACTGCGACGCGGGCTTCGATTAAGTCTTCTCTTCACTTTTCGAACCATTTCTGCCGATGTTGCTGTTTTCTTCCGTCGAGCGATGGTACGAGACACAAAAGATTTATTCATTTATTCAGTGCTCTAACGATAGCCACTCCAGCCAAATATAAAGAAATAACACTATCACGCTTGAATTCCATCACGAATAACTTTTGTTCTGTAAAATTCTCACCAAAATGCTTTTATACGCTTGTAAACAATATAATGACACGTCACTGTCGGACGAGTGGCTTAGAAGTGACAGCAGTCTGAAGTTGGTTGCAGTTTTTCCATCTCACCCTGTATGGACATTCAAAAATTTGACCTCTTGTTGTTGACCTTGGATTAAAAATATTGGGGTGTGTGAAATTGAAAGACAATCGAACTCTTACATTACATTTTATATGCATTATAATTTTTTAAAATGTTGACCATTTGTAGGGTAGGTACTTGTTAAAATGGACCGATATTGTCCATTTACGCACCTGACCTAGCACTGATGCAAATATTAGGATTTTTCTGTGCAGAAAATATTTTTCTTTTTTTGAAAATTTCGACCTTTTGTGGTATCTACAAGGAGTGGACCGATATTGTGCATCTCCGAACTCGATCTAAGTTTGATAATAACATTACGATGTACCAAGTTTGGACCAAATCGGATACTCCCTTCGAGAGTTATCGTGCGCACCAGCCAGCCAGACAGACGGACGGACATTGCTAGATCGACTCCAAATGTCCTGAAACGGATTTGCTTCAAACCGTTATTTCGACTAGGCACGTTTTGACCGTATCAAATGATATATATAAATGAGGGTATAAAAATAAAACGAAATTGCAATTAATTTCGTGAAATAAATCTTTAATTCAGTTCTTCAATATAAAACAAGTAAAAAGCATTAAGTTCGGTCGGGTCGAACTTTTAATACCCTCCACCTTAGGGTAATGGAAACACTAGAACCAATTATGACCCACAAATACCAATTTTTAAACATATTCGTGGAAAAATGTGGCAAAAATCATCAAAATACCGAATATCGGGAGGTACCGCTATATAGGGCTATACAAAAGCGTGGACCTATACATACAATATTTCGCCAACGGAGCTAGAACTCTTTATGACCAACAAATTCCAATTTTTAGACAAATCCGCGATAAAATATGACAAAACCATCAAAATACCGAATATCGGAAGATACCGTTATATGGGGACTATACCAAAGCGTACAATGTTTTGGCGCACGAACATACAATGTTTTGGCGACGAAATAGGACCCATTATGATCTACAAATACCGATTTTTAGACAAATCCGTGAAAAAATGTGGTAAAAATCATCAAAATACCGAATATCGGAAGGTACCGTTATATGGGGGCTATACCAAAACGTGGACCTATACATGCAAAGTTTCGCCACCGGTGCAAGAACTCATTATGAACTTCGAATACCAATTTTTAGACATATCCATGAAAAAATGTGGCAAAAATCATCAAAATACCGAATATCGGGAGGTACCGTTATATGGGGGCTATACCAAAGCGTGGACCTATACATGCAAAGTTTCGCCACCGGAGCTAGAACCCATAATGACCTACAAATACCAATTTTCAGACAAATCCATGAGAAAATGTGGCAAAAATCATCAAAATACCGAATATCGGGAGGTACCGTTATATGGGGGCTATACCAAAGCGTGGACCTATACATGCAAAGTTTCGCCACCGGAGCTAGAACCCATAATGACCTACAAATACCAATTTTCAGACAAATCCATGAAAAAATGTGTCAAAAATCATCAAAATACCGAATATCGGGAGGTACCGTTTATGGGGGCTATACCAAAGCGTGGACCTATACATGCAAAGTTTCGCCACCGGAGCTAGAACCCATAATGACCTACAAATACCAATTTTCAGACAAATCCATGAAAAAATGTGGCAAAAATCATCAAAATACCGAATATCGGGAGGTACCGTTATATGGGGACTATACCAAAACGTGGACCTATACATGCAAAGTTTCGCCACCGGAGCTAGAACCCATAATGACCTACAAATACCAATTTTCAGACAAATCCATGAAAAAATGTGGCATAAATCATCAAAATACTGAATATCGGGAGGTACCGTTATATGGGGACTATACCAAAACGTGGACCGATATATCTCATTTTTAATACCAACCATCCTAGACACAATGAAAATTATTCTGCTAAATTTTGACGCTCTACGTCAAATAATGTGGTATCGTGATTTCAACAGACAGACAAACAGACGGACACACAGACAGACAGACGGACATCGTTAAATCGTCTTAGAATTTTATGCTGATTATGAATATATATATACATTATGGGGTCTACGACGAATATTTAGGGATGTTACAAACGGAATGACAAAGTTAATACACCCTTCTTTCCAAGGTGGAGGGTATAAAAACATGATTTACGTTATTCATATTTTTATTTGAACAAATTTCGAACAAATGAATATAATACATGTTGACCTTTTATGGGTCCGAATTTATACCCCTTTCAGAGGCATGCCCAATATACTTATTAGCATACGTCAATGACATTTCGATTGCAGCCAAATCAAAACAACAGATAAATGAAAATTCTGAAATAAAATGTTGAAATTAAAAATCTTGGAGAAGTTGATCACTACTTGGGTCTTAAAGTTAGGAAAGTCAATGGTAATTTTTACATTCGTCAGAAATATTGTATTAACAAACTTCCAAAAGAATATGGTCTTCAAGAAGCCAAGATAGCAAAGTTTCCAGTTGATTCAGTCCTTGGAAAAAAACGATCTCATAGAAATAAGGTAATAATAACTAGTATCGGAAACTAATGGGATCTTTACATTGCAGCAAATTGTAGACCAGGAAGTATTTCAATCCTGTCTCGAAAAAATGAAACTCTAACAAAAATATTGGAATGAATTGAAGCGGTTAATAAGGTGTCCAAAATGAACGAGCGAACTTTATCTAAAGTTAAGTTCTGATAATTCCCAAGATAACTCTCCTATAGGATATACTGGTGCGAATAGGGCCGAAAACGAAACAGATCTAAAATCCAACACAGGATTCATTTTTCAATTTAACAGTGAATCTATATCATGGCGTTGTCGGAAGCAAACTCATGTATCTCTATCATCTACAAAGTCCGAATTTATATATATTTCAGAGGCATATAGAGAAGCAATCTAGATACGAAAACTCCACAACTAAATGCCACAAAATTTGCGAACATAATCAAGGATGTCTTTTTATGATTGAAGAAGTGAAAATCAGTAATAGAAGGGACACATATTGACATCAAAATCTATTTTATAGAGCAATATATCGCGAATCGTGGCATAATATGTGAATCTAGATGAAACATCTCAGTATTAAAACAGGAATACTAGCCATTTGAGGACTGATATTATACTCTACCAAATTCGACTTGTGATACGAATCATACAATTATATCATAATAGGCTTCCGTAGTTGGATTTAGCAACTAAGCCTACCTTCTCTTCATTGTACCATGGTTTTTATATAATCTTCAATAAACCGTACAACACAACGTATCCAAGATTTCTTCGGAGACAGCGAGGTCCCAAGGTCAAATTTTCAAAGTCATCATTGTCCATTTTCACACTCCTCTTCACTATAGATCTATGGTTGACAAAAATATTGATATACGTGAAGTTTGAAGTAATTTTCGATTTGTTTCGCATTTTATGATATAATTATTCAGAATTTTCACCCATTCTGGAGGAGTGGGAAGCTAATAATACGATAATAACCAAATTTCATTTTTTTATAATTACAGGAAAAACCCAGTGCTATGAATATGCTAAATGCTTTTCATTATATGAGAACATGTTTTTTTTTTTTGCAAAAAAAAGCAAGCAAGCTGGAATGGATACATTTTTTGTTCCCAAATTCGAAGAAGGCTGTAAATGATGGTCCACAGCAAGTGACTCTTATAATTTTTGGGACAGACATCGTAAAATTTTCCCATCTAGAAATATT